TTAAGGCAAACATAAGGGATACGTCTTTTCATTTTTACTGCTATTTTGGAAATATGCTATACAGGAAATTAATCATCTGTGTTCATGCAATTGTAGGTGTACACACACACACACACAAGATTAATACATATGATACCCATATTCTGAGACCTGCCGGAGAGCATGTATTTTTCTTTAATAAGATTTCTCAAATATTCAGTCTGGTAGACAAAAAAAAATGAACATACTATATAATAAATAAATAAATGGAGCATCTAATCAAATAGAGGTACTCACTAAAAATAACCTTTAATATATATATATATATATATATATATATATATACACACACACACACACACACACTTCCTTATATCTTTTAGCAACAAGGGATTTTCAAACACAGAGTTACTGCTAATTGAATTTTTTCTTTTCCTAGCAATTCCCTGTAAACCCCAGATATGGTTGTGTGTGAAAATACTAGTAGATCAGTATTTTTTTTTAAATACTGAAGACTCACCCATCTGGCACTAATGATCATGCCATATTCTAAGTCACTGAAATCATAGTGATGTGTGAAATGAAATTCAGCAGATCACCATGATACTAACAAGGAGAGATCAAGGAATACAGGATCCTGAGTTTTCCAAATTGCATCAGTAGTGTAAAATGGAATTTGGACTTAATTCTGTGATCCTGTTTTACAAATTGCAATTCTTTAATGTCCTAAACATACATTTATTTCTACCCTTAATATTACTCTCAGGATTATATACTTCAAGCCATTAATCAGAATTGGAGTTATATGTCAAGTTTGTGCTTGATATTTTTTTGCCAAAACTGCAATAGATTAAAGAAAAGTCAAGTCATATTAACTGTATCTAATTATTTTTTATTTTTACAAAAAGGAAGCATTTCCTGGGGCTTTGTTACAAAATATTTAAAATAAACAAGTTTTCAAACAACAATTCAATGAAGATATAATGGTATGTGTATGCATGTATGTGTTTGCTGTCCTTTTAAAATCTGAGAAATTAACAAGTTATCAAGAGAAATAAAATGAGAAAGATAGAAATGTGCCTTTATTTACTGAAAAGCAAGACATGATATTAATGTAACATTTTATAAAAGATATAATCATGTTCAGTTAATATAAACCATTTACAATGTATATTTATAAACCTTTGTAATGTTTGTTCTTATTTAGTAATCAGTTATTCCTCACTTTGATTTCACTGTTTCTAAGTCTGTATTACCCAGTTTAAGAATTACAGCATTACTAAATAAGAACAAGATGAGATACCATTACACATGTACAGCAGAATGAAGACAACTGTTTCAATAAATTGAATAAAGAGTTCAGTTTGAAATTCACTGAAGGTTAACCTTCATATTAACAATGGAGTAAAAAGCGTATACAGTAATGTCTAATGAAATAAGTTGAACACAATTAACATTTTAATCTGCCAGGCACTATTACAAACAGGGAGATAAGTGACTTGCAGTGAATCTTTATTGTAATTCTGATTGGTTAATAAAGGAATGAGCTAAGGGAGATAATATAGTGTGTATTTATTCAATACATCAGTCCTTTTCATACACCATTTTTCTGAAGGCACAAAGGTTAAACAGTACCACAGTAAGTCTATACAATATGGATATATACCCTATAGGCTTTCACACATTTAGAAATACCAAGTACCTCAAAACATGAAGATATGTCTTTGCTATGAATTGCCAGGTATGGAAGAGTGGTTTAAAGTCTTAGAATTAGAAAAATTAATTAAGATGCCTAAATTAGCAACTTAACATACTCAGCACTCAAAAACTGAACCTAAGTTGTATCTAAAACAAAGTAATTAGTTTTTTAGACAAGATCTTGTCCTCTTAGGAAATCTGCGATTATGGCTCTCCACAACTTCCTATTTCTTCTAGTACAAGGCAATGTTTGTTTCTTTACTATCCTTCTCACTCCCTGCTCTGCCATCCATTTATACAAGACCTTTAGATATATTACTCACTGTTTCCCCCTGTTCTCTCATGTCATCAATATGCCCTTTGAGTATCAAATTCTCTAAGGTCTCTTTCCTTCTATATAATAAATGTGAACGTCAGTGTGTCACTATGTCATACTTTACTTCTAGAGGCCATAACCCAACATATCACACCATTTTGGAATCAGGCCAACTCTGTGAGCAAATTAAAAACATTCTGGGCTGAATCCTGACCCACAATCATGTCTTTAAATTAAGTGATGGCAGAAGAATTATTGTTTAACTTTTAAAAGATAAGATTAAATATTAATGCAATACTTAAATGCAGCAATCAATTTTGAGTTCTTCTGTACTTTATTGTTGCCTATTGCATCTACTTCTCTATGCCCATTGTGATGAAGGCCCAATCAAGCACCCTCCACAAGAGCTAGCATAAATGCTGCCCAATAGGGCAACTTTTAAGCTAGTATTATATATTCCAGAAATTTCAAAACTGACTAAAATACTTAAATTACTCATAGATACACTTCATAGGCTTTTATTTTTTTATGTTTTTAAATTTACAAAGAAAATATATTTTTTCCAGCTGCTAGAAAAACATACAATCTAGATTTCAATACAGGTTTAGCATCACTAATCTAGCACCATAGGGTACCAGATAAGTGATTCTCCTATATTACTAACGGCTACATTAGAATACATCAATTTTTCTGTTTCTTTATGCCATAAACTGTAGATAAAACAATGCTGCATAGACCACAAAATCTTTGCTCAGAGACACTATTGACATTCTAACTTATCTGTTAATAGATATATATAGTATTTATATCAGTTATGGATAATGTATAGCATTTGCACTTCACACTATAAGAAGCAGTTCTTGTATTCATTGGTACCATAACTGGGTCTAAATTATAGTATGTTGTAATAAAAATACACATAAGACAAGTAGAAATGCTTTTCCAGTGTTTGAAAGTGCTAAAGAAGAGCTGACACAATAGCTAACACTACCAACTAGTAATGGCAAGCTCATGCAATGATCTGAGATGTCTGAAATTTGTGATGCATTAAACTGACATTAAAGATTCTTTATTACATTTCTATAAAAAGCAGATACATTTAACAATTGACTAAGTGACTAAACATCACCACTGAATGTCTTAACTTTTATCATGCTGTATGTAACTTCATTTGCTGTACAAAAAGTTTATCCTGCTACTGAAGGTGACACTGATTCCAAACAATAGTGTGTCTGAATTTCATAGATGTATTGTCATATCCTGCTATGGCAAAACTTTGAGTGAAATTAACAATAAGGATATTGTAACCGAGACCTTTTGAAAAGAACACAGTGGAAAGTAAGTAATATTAATAATGCAGAGTGCTAAAGATTTTATGAAGTAGTCCAGTTCAAGTAACTGTACTCAACTTCAAAAAACAAAGTTCTAAGTGGAAAACACCTATTCTAGCCATTCTTTTCAAACAACCTTTGTGATCCAACCTTCTTCATCTTTTCTTTGTGATAACACAAGCCTGTAAAATCAACAGTGATTCACATACAGGCAATTTGTGTTATACAAATATAAACTTAATACTGTGCTTTATTTTTAACAGCTTTATTCAAAGTATTTATCAAAACACAAATCCAAATTAACAGAAATACATATGAATTCAAAATTTCTAATATAGGTATAAAATAGATTTTTTTAAATATCTGCACTAATGTACATGTGCAGGATATAATATATCTACATTGATGAATAAAAAAATTATCAATACAAAAATGTGTTGGATATTGTTGAAATCAGACTGTCATTAACAATAGTCAGTTTATAGACTACATCACGCTTAAATAAAAAAGAAACAATTTTCATTTATATAAACAAAATATTAAATATTTTCAGCTGCTAGAACAACTACAAACAAGACATTAAACATGCCTACTAGTACATATTTTCAATTAATTTTTGTTTTCAATATATACAAACTAAAATTACTCAACAAAATGTCATTTTATAGGTTCTTTTGACCAGAAAAATTCAAAGAAATATTTATAGTCAAATATTATAAGTATTTATAATATGCAAGTGCTGGCAAACTTGGACTTTTGTGCCCACAAAAAAATTGAATAACAAAAGGACAGTTTTTCTAAGGGTAAACTAAAATTACTCAACTAAAAGTCATCTTTGAGGTAATTTTGACCAGTAAAATTTTAAAAATATATTGATATTAAAAGTATCTATAATATTCAAATGTTTATTACATTTTGTTACTTCCTCTGCATTGTGCAATATCTATCATTTATGTATATTGACTGAATTTGTTTAAATACAATTGAATTAGTTTTTAAAATGTAAATATAAAATTATTCTTATGAATAAAGAATCTAATAATGCTTCATATTTTTGTTAAAAAATTCACAGAAGAAAAAAAGTATAAATTCACTTTCATCATATGCTTAGGTTTTATTTAAATTCTAATGATCACTTTTTAAAACAATTAACACTGCCGAGGAGTGCAAGCAGTTAAAATAATAGCATTAGTTTTAAGAATGTTGTGAATAAAATAAAGGATGTTGTAAGTATAAAATCATTTGTGTAAATAAACAATCTCACAAATGAAAAACTGCTGAGGAGTGAAGGTAGTTAAAATAATAATAGTGGTGGCAATGAAAAAAACATCCTTTTAACAAAACCTTTTTTAGCAGGCATGAAGGTAAAAATTTTCCCAAATACTTATTACATTTCATTAATTCCTCTGTATTGTACAATATTTATGGTTTACGTATCATATTTTGGACACTAATTCAAGAATTGCTTCCAAACAAATTGCTGAAAAGATTTATTATATTCATGATGGTTCTCTGAAAAAATGTTACGAATGAATTACCATATGAATTCATATTAGTATTGACTATCATGTTGTGTACAACAGAATATGTATAGCTATATACAATATTAAAAATAAAGGTAATGAATGTACTTTCATCTGTCAAAGTATTTTCTGAAGAATGGAAACTGGACGAACCATTGATAATTTCTTGTTCACTTTCGTCTCTATTTTCAGTGGCACCTTCCTCTGGAGACTCTGGAAGGAAAAATAAGTGAAACAGATAATAATAATAATAATAATAATAATAAGGAAGCATCATAATTCACTTTATCATGAAACAATTTCTTGAAGTATTTGAGGAAGCTCATTGCTATTCATAAGTTCATGCAAGCATACAGACACAGTTTGTCAGTTCATGTTTTCTTTCTCAAAATGAAATCTAACATTAGAGGAAGATAATATATTTGTTTTTATCATTTTACCTCAAGCAAGCTGATGATGCCAATAAGATGCAAGGGCTTACTAGGTGTGAAAGAGAATGAGAAAACTTTAATGAGGAATAAGGACAATAAAAGAACAGATTTCAGAAAGGCAGAAAATGATGATTGATATTACATTTAATTTTTAAATATTGTAAGTAGCAGGGAAGCAATAAACTGAAAGAGAGTTCCACAGCCAAGAAGTATGAGAAAATAAAGTATTAAAATAGAACTTACAGTTACTTTGTGCTAACTCAACAGTAAAAAGATGAGACCTAGATGCCAATATATCTGTATGCTTAAATTCATGTGGTCATGGTTTCAAAGAAGAAACCTCATTAGAACAATTACCAGGAAAATATTTATAGAAAATGCCCAAGAAAGCACAACACTGTGAATCAACATTCCTAGAAGCAGACCTAGCAATTGATTCAATATAATCGTTCCACTTTATGTCAGGAGAAGACATGAGACTGAGAAGGCGAATTGTGTTACTCTTCTGGAAGTTGGCATGAGGCATGCTGATGGAAAGTAAAAATGCTTCTGTAAGATGACTAAAACAGAGCAGTTTCATTTGGTGTCATTAAAATTTCCAAGCCATTTTTAGCCCCAGTTAACAACAGATTGAAGCTCATTCTCAAGATCAGCTGCCAGTTTTATTCTATCAAACCAATTGAACTTGCTATTAAGACAGGAGTAAATAGATGTGTTATCAGCATAGATGCTGAGTTGAGAAATGATGACATCAGGATGGTTATTGATGAAGATAAGAAACAAAGTAGGTCCAAGGATAGAGCCTTGGAAGACACCTGCATTAATGTGAAAGGATCTAAAAGAGTGGCCATTCAACATGATTTTCATTACATGATTCTTTCAGATTGAATGGATCAAATCAAAAATTCATCTGGAAACAGCCCTTCAGCTTGTGAAGAAGACCAGCATGCCAAACTCTGTCAAATTCATTAGAGATATTTAAATCTGCTTCGTTATTATCTAAATCTTTACAGACTTTTTTATTAATAACCATTGACACATCAGCGGGTGACTTAGAGAAGTAAAAGCCATATTGTTTATATGAAAGAAAACCCAACAAAGTGAGATACTTAACTAATTGAGAGTTGATAAGAGCCTTTTCCAAAAGGAGGTAGAGTACTAATATGTTGATAATTCAAAGGATCAGACAATTCACCCAAGTTCAGAAAAACAGGAAATACAGAAAATTCCCAATAAGTTGGAAAGCAAGAAGCAGCAAGGTATTTGCTGTAGTGTTAAGAAAGAATAGGAACTAGTTCAGGAATATATTTCTTTTGAACAACATCAGTTCTACATGCCTTGTAGAGATCTAGTTTGGAGATGATAGTGGAAACCATGGACAGAGTTATATGTATATCACATATACCTAACAAGATGCTGCGGTTTGGAAGATGCAGCCTAATATTGAAAAGAAATTTCTAAGAAAAAAAAGCTCATTCTCATATAACAGCACATTCACTATGTGTCCCTCACATACTGGCACAACGAATTGCTTACATCAATCACTCATACGATTTTGTTTGTATGTTGTATGGCAACGACATAAGAGCTGGTGGTTAGTAAATATACTATACATCTTTCATTGTCCAAGGATGGATTATTTTCATAAAAATGAATTAAAAATTTTAAAAATATGCATGTAAAAATATAAAACAAAGAAATTTTATTCATCCTCAAATCCCAAGAACTCATCACTGCTGGATTCATGTAAAAGCTCTAAACTCTGCAGTTATCACTACTGTCAGCCATGTACAATAAATGATCCTCACTACCATCCATATTATTACTTATACCACAATTTTGAAAGACTTTACAACAATTTTAGTATTAATAGCATTCCAAGATTTCAAAACCCTTGAGCTATTGATGGGCATTTCATCCTTCCAGTGTCATTTCACATCTTCCCTGTGCCATCCATTTAGACCATTCTTCATGCATGTTATTCTTGAATAGTTTCTTGATGCTCACAAATATTGGCTACAGATGGAAAGTAAGGCTACCAGGAATTACAGCTAATGTTTTGTTCATTTCTCTTGCTAGTTTTTTTTTAGTGTTGTCTGTCCTGTGTGCACTGAACTGATTCCATAGTAGCAATACATTTTTTCGTAGCAGGCCACCTGGCCGATTGGACTACACTTTTTCCATCTACACTTTAACTCCCACTTCAGCCTTTGTGCAGCACAATAACATGAATTCCATCTGGCAATTTTTATTTGTGCAATGTTTTCCTTTTGAAAATCAACAATGGTGATAGTTTGGTGCCATCAGCGCAGCAAGCTAAAACTGCAGTGTAGTGAGTCTTTTCATGAGTGGTGGTTTTAATAGCCACTGTTTTGGTACCTTTCACATCAATGCTTTTATTAGTATTAAAAGGTACGTCAAATGTTAAAGGAACTTCATCCATATTCCTGCTCTTGTTAAGTCTAAACGAGTTCTTCATTCTGGGATTAATGATAGATTCATGGAAAGTATTTTTTATTCATTGTCACATGGAATTTTTTGAGATACTTTAATTCTTGTTAGTAAGCATAACTTGTTTTGCTTCATGAACCGAAAACACCAAGGCATAGTGCCTTTGAAGTCTTTTACTCCCATGTTCACTGTGAGTTTTCTTCCTTCCAAGATTATCATTTTCATACTAACTGCAACCCCCAAGATTCTGTGTTCCATTATCCATGTACTCAAGTCTCTCTCTAACTGTGGCCATTTTATCTCAACCATGTCTTATTGCCATTTGTTGTTTTGTCAGTTCCTCTTGTCTTCGTATGGCCTGAGATTTTATTTTTGTTTTTTTTTTTATGTTCATGCTGTACCATCATATTATCAGTTTTCAATTCCCTTCAAATAAAATAACAAATAAAAGTCTTCCCATTGAAATGCCATAAATTATTATATATAGTAATGGTCTTGTATTTTTGAACTAGTAGATCTACATTTTCATGTGTATCAGATGTTTAGATAGTAGTGTAATTTTAATACCTTGCTATAGGCACACTTTCCATAGATATACCTCAGTACTGTCACTATGGCGGCATAGCCAAGGCATGGCCTGCTGTCTTTAGTCAGGATCGATCCTGGTATCAGAGAACAAGCCGTCAGCCCACACATGTTGGTCACTGATGGTGTTTGACACAGCAAACCTCTTCAACTATGACCTTTCTTACCCACATTGTGATTTTTGATCTTAAGAGGGTCAAGCCGAATTATCACTGAGGTATTTCAACCAAGCTAAACCAAGGAGTTGAATATGCACACACAAAAGTGAATATAAAATAGACGATGGCTAAATAAGTCACTATATGATGTTTATATCAAAATAAAAAAAAATATTTACAGTTCTTTTTTTTCTTTTTCTTCCCAACCCGTTTATTTCGGCTAACTTCCTTAAGGGTGGCCAGACTTGACAACTGGATTTAACTTCAAGTATTGTTGTTTGTATTTTCTAGAATGGCACAAGGTTATCATTGGAGTATTTCTTCGGTGACAACTGGATTTAACTTCAAGTATTGTTGTTTCTACTTTCCAGAATGGCACAAGGTTATCATTGGAGTATTTCTTCGGTGACAACTGGATTTAACTTCAAGTATTGTTGTTTGTACTTTCCAGAATGGCACAAGGTTATCATTGGAGTATTTCTTCGGTGACAACTGGATTTAACTTCAAGTATTGTTGTTTGTACTTTCCAGAATGGCACAAGGTTATCATTGGAGTATTTCTTCGGTGACAACTGGATTTAACTTCAAGTATTGTTGTTTGTACTTTCCAGAATGGCACAAGGTTATCATCATAGTTTTTCTTCTTCAGCAGATAATTATTATTATTATTATTATCATATAACTCCCCATCTGCAATTTCAACTACTCCAATTTACTCCAACTCACTCCAACTAACTTTAGCCCCTGTGAGCACTTGCATTTATGGGTGTCCCTTCCAACTGGTGTTGTGCGAGCAAATAGGTGGGTTTTATGCAAATCTCCTAAAATTCAACCAGTCTTCTTCTTTTGTTTTCTGTTTCACACTTCCAAATGTCATCTTCTACCTTTACAATTGCTCATTCTGTTTTCACAATTATAATTTTTTCTCAGAGAAATTTTGGCTGACAATTTTCTCAGCATGTATACATCAGACACCTTTCAACAGATGACTTTACCCTCTGGTCTCTGACCCTGCACCTGTTCGATGTCTCTCACCAGGTAGTGACAATAGCATTCCGTATATTTTTTTCAACAAAATTCATACATCTGTTCCCATGGGAAAATAAGTTTCTTTCTGATAAAAAATAAAATCATATTCTTTAACCCTTTTCTTCCGTATGCCATATTAAATATTGTTACATCACAAGCAATACATAATAGAAACCTCATGGTATTTAAATAAAAGTTCATATGAACACAAAAGTGATCTTTACAAAAGAACACAGTCAGTGTATTGGTTGCTCACCATGAATCTCACCATGATTTTGATTTGAAAAAATTCTAATCTAATTAAAAATAAAAACAATTTACTAAGATGAAAATATATAGAAAGTGCTTTAATTGCTAGTTCATCCACAGTAAATTTATGTCCAAGTTCTTATCACCTTTCTTAGCAGATCTTCTATTATTACAATGTTGGTTATTTCATGACAAAAGTGATGGAAACATGAACAAAAACAAACTAAATGAAATCTCCTAGACTCTATACCCAAAACATATATTAAAAACAAAATTTACTATATATACCTTTGTAATGTGCAATCTCACATATTGTGCAACCCCCAAAATTTCACTTATAAGAAATAATTTTATCATGTATCTCATCTATCATGCAAGTTTCTTTTTTGAGAAATCAAATTACTATAGACTAAGCTTTTTTCTTCTATCTCTTTATCTGATCTTTTAGTTCAATAAGTTAAAAATGTAAAAGAGAATGATAGAAGTATTGTTAGTAATGCTATACTTGTTGTATAAATGCATACAGGCATAAACAACTGAACAAGAAACAGCTAAACATCTAATAAACGTAAACAATGGAAAAGATACATATTCATTATGTTTGTATTTTAAAATATGATACTAATATATAAATATTATATGCATTATTATTGAATACAATTAAGACATCAGTTTTATCAAAATCATGTTCATTTTAAATACAGTTGCACTCTTTGACTACAGTAAATGGATATATAGTTTGATCAATGGTGCAGCCAGGGCCAGCAGTACATACACTAAATTTATATCTGGTGTATGCAACCCCCTTAAAATTATCTTCAAAATTATCTTCAAAATTATACTTTCAAAAGTCACATGGTACATGAGTATATATGGTAATTTAAATTTAACTATATCTTTCCTGCATCCAATGAAATCCTAAAGGATAAAATGCATCACATGAAAACTTTTTCACTTTGTCATAGTTTTTCCTAAAATTGTTCTTGATATAAAAATTTATATATTGTTTTCCTCATATATAGTATATTAGGAAAGCAAAAACCTTACAAAAAACACTTCACAAGGCTTTATTTAGCTTATTCTCTGCTATAGTCTGAAGAGTCAATTCAAGGGGAACAACTCATGCATACAGGCACATATATCTATAATAACAACTCATGCACACATACAACATATATCTATAATATTCCAACAAAAATAAGTTCTTTACCATTGATAATGAGTTGAAGACTTTTCTGTAGCAGAGAAGCCAATCTCAAGTGTAAAAGCAGCTCAAAATAAAAACAATTATGACTTACCAGTATGAACATTCTTCATGGGAAAATATTTCAATAGTTTTTCCTTATAAAACTTAACATCTTTATCCAAAAACAGACAAAATATCACTCGATCAACCTATAGCAAGAACAAGAAAGGCTTAAAATTATGAACATTAGAAAATGCATGGTAGTGACAAGTAAACATTGCAATGTCAAATGTAATTAATATTCATAGTAAAAGATATACAAGATAAAACCTCATGATGAAAAGTTGAGGGTGAGAGAGAGTGAAAAGGATAGAGCAGAGAAATTTACATATAAGAACTCCAGAAATGAGATTTAGAAAATATATATAGATAAATGAAGATGATTATTAATTTTTCAATTCATATTTCTTTTATCTTTTTTTCATTTGTTTTTCATCACAATTCTCATATTGTTATTCTATGGTTGTTACTAAGCAATTTCGATTGGATCAGCATTGATTATTAATGAATGCAGAATTATACTTTCAGAGTTGCAATAAAAAGAAACTGAAATTAAGATTAAAGAAATAGGCATGGTGGAGTAATGCTCTGATTGTAGAATTAGATAGCCAAGTTTTAATTGTAGTCATTATATTCACTTATGTGCTAATACACTTATGAAAGGTATGAATCCGTCTATTCTCCCCCCAGCTATGGGTAAAATAGCAGGACAGACTGCATCCTATAGCACTGGATAGCAACCAGTCTAGGAAAAGAAAGCTCTGAATTCAAACCTCTTGCTGCTTTGTAGGTCCCTGCCACTTTAGACAAAAGCTAGAAGATAACTTTAAAAACCAAAAAGGACAATCCAGTCAGTATTATAATATAAATAAGGCTACAGATGGAGGCATAGTGGAATAATGGTTAATGGCTTGGATTAAGGAATCCAAAGGCTGAGTTTGTATTCCAGTCAAGTTCATTAGATTCACTTATGTGCTGATTCCCTTGGGAAAGGTGTGAATCCATCTCTTCTCCTCACCAGCTATGGGTAAAATAGCAGGACAGACTGCATCCTATAGCCTTGGGTAGCAACCAGTCTAGGAGAAGAAAACTCTGAATACAAATCCATGTTGCTTTGTAGGTCCCTGCCTCTTTAGACAAGAGCTAAAAGAAAGTAACTTCAGAAACAAAACACTTCTGAGAGGAGGGACAGGGTAGCCTTAACATCCCTTGTGGAAATGGAACCAGCAAGCCATTGTAGAATTCTGCCTTGAATGTCATCATGAACCACATGGGAGATGGAGGTAAGTGATAACCACAGTGACACAAAATGTGCTAAATGAATGAATGATGATGAATGAATAAAATCAACTGACAATATTTAGGTAGCATTTTTGTTGAGGCAGGACCAGGATTAATCCCACACAAAGTTAGGTAGGTCCTGCCTTACAAAGGATTTGTCATAATTATTTGAGGCAAGGTTTTACAAGTACAGATGCTCTTCCTGACAACCAACTCAGACACTCATGGTAATCCAAATTAACTGAGTGTTTTATTGAGACACACTCCCTAAGAAAGTTGTCATTTAAGGCTTGAGACCCAATTCTAGCCTTATATATATATATATATATATATATATATATATATATACACATACAATATATATATATCCTATATATATATATATATATATATATATATATATAGGGAAAACATATGATAAAATGGAAAAGTTCTCACACATCTCATATATATATATATATATATATATATATATATATATATATATATATATATATATGTTTGGTCATTGGGTCCTAAAGAAGCCCATCTGCCATTTGACAGGTCTTGTTTTTGTCTTGTTGGGTGACCAGCCACCCTCCTCATCAGCAGGTTATTTAAAGCCAGAAAATAATTTTAGAGTGTAAGAATCTTTTTTAGAGATAATAATGTTTTAATGATACAATTCCTACTAATTAACCCATAGTTGGGGGAGAGAAGTGAATTCATACCTTTCTCAAGGGTACTTGCACATAAGTGAATATTACAAACCAGACTAGAATTGTAAATTGGCTCTCTGATTTCTCATTCTAAGCTGTTATCCACTACACCACCCACATATCCAAACTTACAGCACCTGGTATTCCCAAAAGATCACCCATCTAGTTACTGACCAGGCACAACATTGCTTAACTTTGGTGATATGAGAATTAATGTTTCAATTGAAATAGCTGTAAGCCTTTCTGGATTTGAAAATGTTGTTTACTACAAGCAAAATTGATCAAAAGCAGCTACCATTTTATTTCTGACAATTATTTCTCAGTTTTTCAGTGTTTTTTTTTATACTTTGCTTTATTATTCAACACCAAAGTGAAGGAGATAAATACAATGAACAAGTGAGATTAAACAAGTTTATGATTATTTAGACTATTTATATTCAGACTATTGTCCTCATCTTTGTTGTTGTTTTGGCCATTGCACTTTCTCCAGTGTATATTGATCTGGGAAACCTACAGGAAATTCTGAAGTGAACCCTTTAATGGTAGACTTAGGCCTTACTAAAGTAGATTGCTCGCCTTGATAAAGTTGGAAGATGAAACACACCAACAAGAACTAAGAATTTTTTCCAACTGTCAATTTTAAACCAATTTGTCTTATTTTCAGAATTATTTCTGGGAAATTTAACTATATATATATATATATATATATATATATATATTTTTTTTTTTTTTTTTAAAGCGTTTCACCCCAAGCAAGGCGGGAAGCCACTAGGACGCAAGGGGTTACAGAAAATTTGGATATATACATGGAAGTTAAAGGTTGAATGTTTGTGTGTATTTTAGGTGTGTGCATGTTCACATATGATAAACAAAGAAGCAAGTAAAAGCTTGGGTTTCTACAATTCACTGTTTATTCTTTTTTTATGGTAACTGTAGTAAAACAAAGTTCTCAATGTCGCTTGGCTATATAAGTTTTCTTTTATGGTTCAGAAGAAAGTTATGGTAAGTAAGGATAAGAATAATTAAAATGGTTGAGCTGAACTCAGCTTTGTACTGAGTTGGAACAACCAAATTACTTACTTCATGAGTAGGGCCACAAGGCACATCTGAACGCTATTGCTGGAAAGTGGAAAGACAAGGATTCTGCAGATGATCAAAAGTCCTTTTTGGTTCCTTTATTACTTGTCTCATGGGAAAATGTATTTAATTTTTTTATTCTTTATTATTATTTTATTTATTGATTTTATTTCATTTTCCCACATATATATTTGTTACCATTTCATTATTAGAATATACATCTGAATACGTTTTATTTTGTTGAGGTTTATAACTACATATTCATTAATTTTTCATATGCAATGTCAAGTGGAAAATAAGCAAAATGTTTGAAGTAGTAAAAACAATGAAATAAAATAAAACAATCTTACTTTTTCATGATTATTGTCTAACCACTTTCGTACAGTCTTCAAGACAACATCAGCAGCCTTATCATTAGGATAACCTGAATTGGGGAAAAAAAGCAAACAAAAATTAAAAGGTTAAAAATGAATACAATAATTAGTGTCTTTCCAAAAATTTAACCAGCAAATTGTTTACATTCTGGTTCACATTACTGAGGTCATTTTCATGCAAATATTTGATGAACTTTTCCTACATAATATCCCATGATCAGTTAGCTTGATAATGCGTATGCCATCAGCATTGAAAAGGAAATGAGAGAATGAAGGTTGGACTGGTCATGACTCTTTTTAATCAAAAGAAGGGCTTCATTTCAGTTCATATAAGCATGAATTCGTTATTTGTAAACACTTTTCATTACACACTTCAGTCAACAAAATAATGATAGCCATAGAAAGAAACAAGGAAAAAGCTAGCATAACACACACACAGTGACATATAAAAACTTCAAAATGTTTATTTATTTAGTATATTCACATCAGTATTAGAATGATAGTGCTTTGCAGTCTTTTGTTTTTATACATTGATTCTTTCTATCTTTCATTTTTGTTGTCTATCCTGTGTAACCTTTAGCCTTATTTAAATATCTTCCTGAAGATATTTAATATTAATTCCCTGGAATTAATATCAAATGGACAGGTATAGTGATGAGAACATTACAATGGACAAAGAGTTCTGTTTGATATTCTCACATCAAGAAGCACCTGAGGATAAATGACTGAAGCATGATAAAGGCAACAAAAATAAATATGAAGAAAACAGTAAAGTTTAAATTCTGGTTCACATTGCCGAAGTCGCTATCATGGAACTTCACAATGAACATTCACCCAATTTTCCTCTTGAACATTTTTTGAATCATTTCGCTACAAAAGTAAAAAGTCTATAAAGTCTATGTACTATAGAGAAAAGTTCATCAGAACAATTAACATGAAAATATTTATACAAAAGGCACAGAGAAGGTACATTATGGTGATGGAAAAGTGACTGAAGCCAAAAACATATTTTCTTTTCCTTATCTGCCTTGACTTTCTTTTGATAACCTCCCTTGGCTGTCACTCTCCTGATGGGTAAAATGTAGCCATCTTGCTTGTACATTAAAGCCTTTGTAAAGGTCTCACATCTTCCTCTTATCAGTTCAAACAGCATCAAACATTTCCTACACAATGTCCCATGAATAGTTAGCTTGATAATGTGTATGTCACCAGAAAAAGAATGAAGATGAAAGCCATCTTCAATTATAAGAAGGGCTTCAGTTCGATTCATATAATCACAAATTCATTACATGTAAACATAAAAACTAACTTCAAACATCAAAATCCTTTCAATCTTTACTAAATGTTCACGGAATACAAGGCCCAAGAGCCACTTAGGTGGAGGGTTACAAAATGAGGTTGTTGTATGAACATAGGAGAGGGAAGTAAGTGCATATTATGAGGATATGTAGGATAGATAACAGTAAACTCAAAGAGGTTAAGATTATAGTGTTGAAGGAAGTGTCCTCTCAGGAGTCTGTTCCATAAAGCAGTGGCTCTTGGGAAGAAGCTATCTGAATAGAAATTCCTTCTTAACATGGAATAAAAAAGGGAATGAGGATGATTCAACACAGTGTATGTGGCATGGCAGGTCTTAGCTGTATATGTTTAAACTGGTGGAAATAAAGAATGTATCTTGCCATTTTCCATTTATTACTTTCATGAAAAGGTATAGATATATTTCCAACAAGAATTTTCCTAAATTGCAAATGTGGACAGGCATGCTGTTGTAAATGTTTGATGCATCACTTAAATGAAAACTCAACTGTCTAGACAGCATAGTAGTAGTATAACCAACATATGTATTTTTTTCCGCAATTTAGGAGAATTCTTGTTGAAAATAAATCTATACTTTTTCTACTTATTTTCAATAAGATCCTCTCATATTTATGGACAAACCTCCTTATTAAAGGAGGAGAGATAATTACCATGTTGATACATATTCATTTATTCTGAATACTTTCGACATTAGCAAAATGTCATCACCAGGGTGTTGTTTTTTTTTATAAGACAAAATTGTTGTGTTCATCTGAAAGTTAGATTTTTTTAACTGTGAAGTGAAAAACACAAAGGCTATGTACTGTGCTGTTTAAATTTCATGATGTAAACATTAGGGGAAGTAACTACGATTAAAATGTCCATATGTTTTTTTTTTTTAAAAAAAAACAAACAAACTATTAGTTAAAAACTAGATATTTTAAATTATCTACTGTAAACAGTTTAAAACATTTGTGCAGTATTCATAATTAAATTTATTAAGGGTTGGTTTCAATTTTTTAATATAGATAGCTTCAAGAATTTTTAGTTTATGTCTATTATTTAAGTTCTTGAAAACACCACCCAGCAATGACCTCCTCATTGAATTTGAAAAGGATTTATTCTCTGTAATTGATAAAATTAAATATGTTACCAAACGCAATAACCTACAGAAGACTATGATGAAAGACATAACTGAAATACGTAATACTGATAAAATCATCATTAAATCAGATAAAACTCAGAACCTGTTCTATTACAATGTCACCGACTACCATAAATCTATCTGAAAGGAAATTAACAGAGTACATAAGAAAGCCCCCACTGAATGGGGAAATGATATCAACAGCAATGCATGAGCCACAGCTACTAAGTTTAAGATCGATGATAGGGTATATAAGCTTCACAAACAACAGGCTTTTATTACTGCTAAGGACCACAAGAACAATTTCTCCAGTAAACTAACAGTTCCAATTAATTAACCCTTCTAAAAGTAATATAAGCAAAATTAGCAAGGTTATAATCAAACAAGCCTGTAATTACATCAGGAATACCACAGGGTTCAATCAATGAAAAAATACTAAAGATGCTATCAATCAGTTCGATAATACAAAAGATAAGAGTAAGTGCACCTTTATGCAATTTGACATCTCCAACATTTACCCATCACCGAAGATCTATTAACGGCTGCTATAACCCTGGCCAAGAATTATTGCACCATCTCCAACAAGGATATCAGTATTGTTATGCAAGCCCAAAATCCCATCCTATACCATGATGGTTCTTTGTGGACCAAAAAAGACAGCCCAAACTTCTCTATAGCAATGGGAACATTTGACTATGCGGAAGCTTGTGAATTAATCAGGATACTACTGTTATGGAGGCTCAGGTATACTTTCAACAGTGAGGGCACTGGCCTGTACAGAGATGACAGAGTTATACTTCTACGCAACACCAATCAACAGCAAACTGACCGGCTCAGGAAACAACTAATCAAATTCTTTAAGGATCACAGACTTAATATCACCACTATCACCAATGTCAATGTGATCAACTTTCTTGATACTACTTTCAATCTATCCAGAGGAGGACACATGCCTTATAATAAGGAACTTTATAACCACATATACATTAATAAAGAATCTAGCCACCCACTGGGTATCCATAATAGCCTGCATATATCTGTCCAACATAGACTCTCTACTAAATCCAATAATAAATACATCTTTGACAAATTCAAAACCAAATATGTCGATGCCCTAAATAAAAATAAGCACAATATTAAACTAGAATTCGTCCCAAACACTAGAGAGAATATTAGTAGTAAAAATAGGAATAGAAAATGTAACATAATTTGGATCAACCCACCTTTCAATAGTATTGACAGAACCTTCCTTAAATTAGAACACAAACACTTTAACCATAACCATTTTCTCAAAAAAAATCTTCAACAACAATATTAAAGTTAGTTTCAGCTGCACTAGAAACCTTGACCAATATATAGCCCAACATAATAGTGTAACTCTTAATAAATACTTAAGCAAAAATAATTACAATGGTAGCTATGATGATCAAGAATGCAATTGCCAAAAAGAGAACATCTGTCCTTTGAATGGCAAATGTATGTATAAAGGAGTTATTTATAAGGCCAGCATCAAACATAATGACCAAATTAAATTTTATTTCGGGTCAACTGCTAATAATTGGAAAAAACTTTTTTTATCATCATAAAATGACCTTTAACAACAAAAAATACACAAATGCCACAGCACTCTGTAAGTTTTACTCGGGTACCAAAACAGATAGCTACACACCCACAGTGAATTTGGAATTGGTCGCTAAAATCAGTCCATTCCCAGGCAGTGGGGACAGGTGCAATCTATGTTTACACAAAAAATTATTCATCCTAAAAAATATTAATAATCTAAAGCTACTAAATAAACGGAATGATCTTATGTCTAGTTGTATGCACAGAAAATCATTTTTCTTAAAATATTATAATCCTGGATAACCCACTTCCTGTCTAAATTTAATTTTAAATTTTAATTTTCCACCCACTTTTACTTTGGGTCACACATCCATTACCTTCCTCTAACCATTCAAATATATTTTATGAACAGCATCCAGCATTCAAATTTTAAATCTTAAGTGTACTTCAATTTTCCCTTTTTTTTCTTTTTTTCTATTATTGACTCTGCATTTCCTGCACTTAAACCCCAGTATTTCTTTAGTACTATTTTTGTGCTATTTTAATTTTGAACTATGAATCAGCATCCATCCCATGAGCATCTGTATACTTTTCTGAAAAAAAAAAACAAAAGCAATATGCAATATCTTGTGCTCGATAAATTGGGTAACCAGCGAAACTAGAGTTGCACATCAAATGTAGGTATATGTGTATTTATTAACATATATTTCTTAGGTCTGTCTAATCACATTGAGCACCATTATGTCTACACCTCCTGGTTAAATTTGGTAATTATTTCCTTACCAGCGTATGCACGTTAGCACACACATATATGGTCACTATATGTATATGTTGAAATAATAAATGTTGTATTGAATCAGTAGTTTATCAATGCAATATCTCATCTATTGAAGATCCAGACATGGTTAAATTCTACATTGGATGAACAAGATATGATTCAAAAGAAGGTGGAACCAACATCAAACATACTTTAATAATAATAAATACCAAAATCAAACATCCCTATCTAAATATTTTTGGCACTTAAAAGAAACCAATAAAACATCAACAGTAAAATGGAAATTAATAAGAAAACAAGACCTTGTAGGTCATTAAATGACCCATGTCCTTTGTGCATACATGAAAAATTATACATTATTGTTTCTGAAAAATAAAAATTTACAAAATCAAAGAAATCAAATATCCATTTTTTGCAGGCATTGTTAAATATTTTTTTAAATAATAATTTTGGCAAAAAAAATAAAAAAAATAAAAAAGAAGAGAGATGAAACATACATATTTATATTTGATCATTAATTCATAAATTTTTTTTTTAAGTATGAAATTAAATTCTAATATATTTATTTGTAAAAATACTGTATAGTCTATTAGTTATTAGAAGCAGAAATAGTACTTTAAAACTGTAGGAATAAAATTTAAATATTAAAAATATGACTTACTCATATTTAAATGACCCTTTTAGAAAATCTTTGAGTATAAAAATATGAATTAAGCAGATAAATAAAAATGCCAAAATTTTTTGTCATTGAAAACCCAGACAACAAATTGAGTAACAGATGTCTATGTTTGCAAGCACCTCCACCTAAACTTAACCGGACTTTGTAAGTAACATTTATTTGACACATAAGTTGCCTAAGGAAATTAAAACCCAACCATCCCTAATCAAAATGATTGAATTTTCCTTCACCTTAACAACTCAAAATATTAAGATTGTCTGCGCTTATAGATTAAGTAAATTTCTTAGAAAGTTATTCCTAACATTGCTTGACAATGAAACAAAACTCTGGATTTTAAGTTTAATTTTTGTAATTAAATTTACAAGTTTAGTTTCAGTTTTGAAACATAGAAATTTCTGTCACAATGGAATCATATTTTTAAAAAAGAAAATAATTATAAGGCCTGAAGACCTTCCTTCTAACACCATACATTGCCTTGGAGTCTTTACAATTGTAGGCATCCTGAATTTGTTTGGAAATATCATGCCACCATTGGTTCTTTAATTGGCATAATCTACATTGAAGAGAGGACCTACAGGCCTTAAAGGACTGGCAAAATGATTGATGATCACTGTCAGATGCACGCAACATCTTCTGATAAAGATCAATTTTGGTTTGAAGAAGCTGGTTGATTTTGCGGTTATTCTCATCAAACCAATCTTAATGTTTCTTTTTTTCTTAAAGCCAAGGCATCAACACTGATGTTGTGTATGGTCTTTTTAAAATCTTCCAAGAGACCATCAAACTGAGAACCTTCCACAGCTTTTTGAAGCCCTTCCTGTACCACTGAATCCTTCAACTTATTTACATCAACCTGTTTGGGGATTTTTGTCCCTCCAGAACAAACTTTCCGCCTTATACGCAATTTTAGTTTTCCTCTTACAAGATAGTGATCAGTACCACATTCTGCCCCCTTCATTACTCATACACTGCAAACATCTTGAAGGTCACATTGACGAAAAATTATATAATCAATGACCTTGGGCGAATCCAGGTTACCTTATGGATCTCTTTTTGTTGAAAGAAAGTATTGCATATGGCAAGATTGAGGTTCATGCAGAGCTGGAGAAGATTTGCAACAAGATCAGATTTTATTGCAAACACCTGCCCACACACACACGCACACACACTAGAGCTCAAAAGCTTGAGGTCACCTTGGTAATTTTTTAAATTGGCCCCAAAAGTAGGTGTTTTGTTAAAAATATTATACATGGTTAAAAAAATGTGAGACATGATTTTTTTTATTAGAAATTTCATTTTTTAAAAAAAAAGCATTTTATGATTAAATTTTGCTCTCATCAAAATATCCTCTTTTAGCCTAGATTACTGCAGCACAAATTCTTGGCATTTGTTGCATAAGTTTCTCAAAGTATAATTTTGATAATTGATTCCATTCTTTTCTCAATAACTCTGAGTGCTCTTTTTAATTTTTTTTCACTCTTCTGTCAAGTTCATCCCATGCTAATTCTTAGGGTCACTTTAAAATTTTGAACTTTAGTGTGTATGCATATATATATATATATATATATATATATATATATATATATATATATATATATATATATTGGGTAAAAAGAGAAAAATGTATAGAAAGTGTTTTAATTGCTACTTCACCCACAGTAAATTTACATCCAGGTTCTTATAACATTAGAGTTCTTCTATTATCACAATGTGGGATATTTAATAACAAAAGTGATAAAAACATAAAGAAAAAGAAAAATAATAAATGAAATTGGCAAAACTATATACCAAAAACATACTTAAAAAACAAAAAGTTTTTCATTTAAATTTAAAATTCTCAATGTCCCCACTTTGTGTGTATCTGTGGTCACATGCTTCACTGATTTTAATGTATAGGCCACTTGTACATACTTGAATGGATTTATTTTATTCAAATTTTTTACTCTCTAATATAATGATTTATATTTATCTTTAATTTTGTAGCATAATATCTAAATTTATACATAGTAATTTCTTTTGTATTAATGTTAATCAAATAAATATATAATCTTTATGATGTACATGTATGATTTAGAGTAAAATTAGTGTAACTGTAAATGAAATAGAGGTCTTGATATGATAGTCATACTCAAGTAACAGATAAAGAACCATCATAATAATGATAATTCCTCATGTACAAAATTCCTATTTTTTTTTAAAGCTTCAAGCAATAAAGTATCTAAAAAAAAAATTATGGAGGTAAAAACAGGGAAAAATTATGGTGTTACTTTCTCTTTTCCTACCCATAATCCTCTTTCAAAATGGCTGCCATTTTGGACATACAGAAAGCAAAGAACTATCACAGAATGTCTTTAGAATTGTCAAGCTCCATCTACCCAAAGCAGCTGGTTATAAGGTGCCAGTTTTCCGCATTTGCCTATTCCCCAGCTTGGAGCTGAATTAGTTGTCAGAGGCTATTTGAGAGGCATGCCACAGAAGCATTTTATAGACAGTGGGAGCTTGTTCCTACTATCACTCCTGGCTAATAGACATAATGGCACTGTTATTAATTCTGACATAAGCACACTGTCAAATCTCAGAGTAAGGTTTCTTTTTCTAACTAGGCCAAATTTGAAGTTGAGAGATTTTGCTTTTGTAGCATGACAATGTAAGGCCTCCACATACGAGCTTAAAGGCCAGACAAGCAATTACAGAGTATATTTGCGGATATACTTCCTTTACTCTGCTGACCTGGCACTCTATGGGTCTATGAAGGAGATACTCAGACAAGAGCAGTTTTCCAATAATTAATATGTGAAAAAAGCAAATCCCACTTGGTTAAAATTACAGTTAAAAACCTATGAGTTAGGTAGGCAAAATGTGACAATTTATCATTAAAAGAAATGTCCTCCCGGCATAAGTTTAAATTGATGCCTTCTTTTCTTCCATATATCTTAACTATAATTATAAAATTTAATTTTGAAAAGTATAAAATGTTACCAAAGTATATTAAAAAATTTTTCAACTTTTTATCTAAAATCAAGAACAAATAAACTTTAAGCAAAAATGGTCACAATATGTAAAAAAAAAAAAAAGCTGTCAGTTTAAACTGACACCAAGAATATATAGGTAAGAAGAAACCATCTTGACAGTAGGTTTTTGTGAATTGCTTAATATGCAAATGATAAAAAAGTAAAGTAATGAAATATTTACCAAAGATTCCAGTTGATATGCAAGGAAAAGCCTGAAAAGTATAAAAAGAAAACAAGACATTATTTTTTAATTATAATAGTGTTAATGACAATAAGTATATTAATTATTAAATAAAAAAAATCAATGTTTCCTGGTCATCATAAAGGTAAAGAAAACTTTATACTGAAATTTAAAAAACAAAAAATAAAGCAAAATTAAATGATTTTTTTTAAAATTCAAATATCTTTTAACTAATAAGAAATAATTTTAAAAATTAACCTTCAAATAAAAAAGTGAAATTTATATTCCAAAAAACTTTGAATCTTATACTGTTTTGGATTCAGGTAAGAAGTTCCACTTTATTTTAATTTTGATAATGAATGCTACATTGGCATTGTACAAGGATTACAGGTTATTGTATCTTCCTCTGAAAATCTTGTTATAATTCTTGAATTGAACCGTGACACTGAATAAAAAATAAGAACACTTTATACTGAAACTAGCAGCATGGCCTGGCGTTGCCCGTGCTTGATTCAAAAATCGTACGACTCATACAGCAATCAGTATCACTTGACTTAAAATATTTCTGCCCTTCCTTGCATTTAAAGGAGTGCCCTTAGCCATGCTGATGTTGCTACATGCCTTATTTCTGGCCTATCTTACACTGTGAATTTTTTCTAAGCTCTATACTAAACATTAAATCTGTTACAAAAAAAGTACTAAACAAAATGAACACAAAACGATCAGCTTTAAAAAAGGACTCGTAACTGGAAAAACTGAATGAAAAAAGAATGTTGACAACAAATACTTTTTCACACCCAACCCAGTTCTGCGGAATCAGAATCAATGTTGAGTTTAAGCAAGTGAATGAGCCAATGCAGATTTAAATTTTTCCCACTTGTGACGAATGCAGCTATTGATTTTTTTTGCATGCTAGCATGCTAGTTAACACTCGTGTCAGTTGGCTGTTGGCTCTCACGCTTCCTGCCTATTCATGGCAGCCAGCTATAAACTCTCAGTGGCCAGTAGAAAATGGCTGTAAACTACATGAAAACTGCCATAGAAGCATGAAAAAAATCAATTATTTCTACTATCGATGGGAGTTGGGAAATGCAAAGTCAGTTTTGGCCTTCCTGCTAACTTGGAGCATGTGCATGTAAATTTTGGTGCAAATCCATCAAAAATTGCGGCTGTGCATTCATTACACACACACACACACACACACACACACACACACACACACACACTACCTTTAATAGATAGCAATTTAAAAAACAAAAATGAATAAATAAAGCATAATTAAATGATTTTTTTTAAATTCAAAGAAACAAAATTTAAAGAAATATTTTTTAACTAATAAAAAAAAAATAATTTAAAAAATTAACATTCCAAAAAGCCTTAAATCTGTTTTGGATTCAGCAAAGAAGTTCTACTTTATTTTAATTCTGATACTGAACACAACATTGGCATTGTACAAGGATTACAGGTTATTGTATCTTCCTATAAATCTTGAATTGAACCGTGACACTGACAAATAATGACAATGTTTGAAGTTACTGAACACTTCTGCTGTTGTGAACATACTTATATGTCTTGATGAAGCTTATATTTTCTGCTGTTGACATATATATATTTTTCAAAATACCATGAAATATCAGTCCCTTGTGTTTGTGTTATAAACTAACCATCACTTAGTGCTAGTTTCAAACCAGTGTAGACATTTCAGTAGGCACCCGTTTATCTTGAGAGATAAAGGTAGCATCCTGTTTGGTTAAAATTCAGTCAATTGGTGGTGGGACTGGAGTCACCTCTCTAGGGTGCAGGTCTGGTCAATAATTTATGAAGGCCTTGTGCTGCCCAAACCACATGCCCCTTCCCCACTCTTGGCTGTACCGATAAGATGCAAAAGAATACAAGGCATTACATTTGGGACCCGCTTTGCTGCAGAAGTTGCTGGAAGGTTACCAGTATTGACGGTCAACTGCATTCGTCTTCTGTTTGAATTTACTTCTATAGGTTTTTCCATGTTTGGATATGACTGCAAGACAGCAAAGGTTTAAAATTAGGGTTTCCCTTGCCCTAGATGAACTGCATTCCTGCTCTGTCGAGCTCCATCTACCCAAAGAAGCTGGTTATGAGGTGCCAGTTGTCTGCCTTTGACCATTCTTCAACTTCATGCTGGACTTAGAGGCTATTTGAGACACATATCACAAAAGTATTTTATAGACAGTGAGAGATTATTCCTACAATCACATCTAGCTAATAGACATACACAAAACAATCTGTTTTGCTATGTATTTTCATTACTTTGTGTGTTAGGGGTGCTGTTTAGTTTAGTCTACAAGGCAGAGTATCTGATCAAAAAGAAAAATTGCAAAACATTTGAAAATCATGTCTTGACCTATATCTTCCTGGCATCAATTTAAACTAAGTTTTTTTTTTATTTTACTTTGGCAAACATGCATAATTAGGCTTTTTGTTTTTTTGCTTTTTTTGGAGATATGTGAAAAAAAAAAAAAATGCAAATAACAAAAAGCTTAATTATGCATGTTTGCCAAACTAAAATAAAAAAGTAAAATATTATTATTTAGATTATTTAGAGGCCTTAACCTTTTACTAATACCAGTAACAAACATTACTGATGAATTTGTGCCGGGACGATTCACCAGTAATGTTTGTTACTGGTGTCAGTAAAAGGTTAAGGCCTCTAAATAATCAGACACTATCTCCTAGGCAAACCAACCAGGAGTGACCACCACCTGATCAGCTTCCCAGCTTCTTTTTAGTATTTTTATTGTTATTTATTTACATTTGTTCTTTATTTAAAAGTAATCTTTTTTGTAAAAAAAAAAAAAAAAAAAAAAAAGTCTGTTTTTGTACACAAAACAGCTATGTCCACTCAGTAAAAAGTCAGGGATCAATTCTACACTGTATCAATATTATAACCAGGATCACTTTCTAAAAATATAAAAAAACAATATTTTTTTTTATTCTGGCAAATGTTGTGCCTTGAGGAAGTTCTAAGGAAGACTAAGCTACAAATAGTATTCCCAGAAAAATTATTCCCTATTTTTTAAAAGTGGACCATTATATTTAAGTAGTTCCTTAGTCAGTTACTCAAGGACAATCATTAGTTTTATGATTTAATCTGGAATTTTTAACAGATTCCCTACCAGAACAAGAAAACCCAAGGTATCATGTTAGCCACTACCAAATGATTCACTTGCTTTTGTTCATCTAACAGAAAATTTGCAAATGCTTAGAGAAATATGTGGAAAGCTTTGCAGTTCATGAAAATTTACAATAAACTATTATCTTACTGTTTCTCCTTTCTCAGATCAATTAAAAATGGTTGGTTGGTTGGTTGGTTGGGTTTTATGGAGACAGAAGGGAATTCCACAAGCGAGAAGTGCGAGAAAAGAAACTGTTAACGTAGACCTTAAACAAAATGTTATGGCGGAAGCCCCCATCAATACTGGAAATAATGATAACAGCAGACTTGAGAAATCTATTTTCTGAAAATTTGTTTGAAGATAAAGATTTAAAAATTTTAAACTGACAGACATTTCCACATAAGGTAATGTCTAATAATGCTATTAACATTTTCATACGTGAAAGATAGATAATACTTACAATTGTCCTTTGATTTTCATCAATTAAAAGTTGAAGTGAACTCATATAACAATCCTTCAGTTTGTCTGGATACTCTCCCCGGGGTCCGACAGTGTGGATCACATCTGCAGAGAGAATTTCTTAGTGAGCAATACTTCAGAATATATTCTTTAAAGCTCTGTAGAAACTACAATCATCATATAATAATTCTACTTGTCCCTTCCTTCATTAGTTAGTTAGTCCCTTAGCTAGTTTACACCCTGCCAATACCTCATAAATAATGGACTATTCTGATTTGACCCATGAAAAGATGGAAATGACATATTGGAGATGCTATTTGGTTTCAGTGAGAAAATGAAAGAAAGAAAGAGGGGAAAATAGAAGTGTTTAAAATCTCCTGCCAATACCTCATAAATAATGGACTATTCCATTTTGATTTTGTGGAAAGAAATATCAAAGATGCTACTTGGTTTCAGTAAGAAAGAAAGAGGGGAAGATAGAAGTGTTGGTCAATCGATATTGGGCTTTGTTTCAGCAAGACAATATGAGGCTACACATTGCCAAGTTGACCAAAGAGAAGTTCAAACAGATGTGTTGGGATTTTTCCACATCCACCATTCAGTGTCAATGATGCTCCGACTGGCTATGGCCTATTCTGCTTGATAGTACACTTCCTTTGCGATCAGCAATTCCACACTGAATGATGAACTGTAAGAATCTATTTAAAAAAAATACATTAGAAGATAGGATTTTAAAGAAATAAAAGAGAAAGAAAGAAAATTATTTGATGAAAACAAAATAAATAAATAAAATGTTAGTTAAAATGGTAATATTTTGAAATTAAATGCTTCCATTATTTTCTAAAGAAAACATTTATTTTTAGTGACCACATCTGCTAAGTGGTTTGTTTATAGCAACTTTGAGTTACCAAGATAGAAAAAAACCCTCTCTCTCTCACACACACACACACATACACATATATATAGTTTAGTTACTTACATTTTGCAGGTAAATTGTAGGCTAAAAAATAACAAAAAACTTAATTAGTTATGCTAAATAAAATAAATAAGCTTACCTTATATAAATATATAAGACAGTCTTTGATATTTTTTTTTCACTTATGGTCAAAATAGAAATAAATATAATTAGGTAATGGAGCTATTCAACAAATTTTATATAGCAAATATTTTTCAACATAATCTCCTTCCTCGTTAATGCACTTAATACAGTGGTGATTTAATAATCACATAGATCAAACATTATGCTGTGAAAATTTCAGGTCAAACATAGCTGTATGTCCAAATTCAGACTTATTGATCCACTCTCATATCTGCATATATATATATAGAGAGAGAGAGATAACAATATATTTTTATATATCAAGAAAAGTATTAGGCAAATTCTATGACAAAGTGTGAAAAGTTTGCTTGTGAGGTGTTTCATCCTTCAGGACTTCAGACTAAATTTATATTGGCATGTCTACACATACATATGAACGAGGGGTGTTGGGACTTTCAGAATTTTTTTTTACTTACTAACAAAAGTGATGGAAAGAAAAATAAAAAGACTCTAAATGATTTCATCTAGATATAAAAAAAAATCTAAAATCAGCAGAACTCCTCATTTATGCGCATGTGTAGTAGCACCAACATAAAAATTTTAGTCCAATGAAGTCCTGAAGGACAAAACACATCACGAGTAAACTTTTTCCTTATATATGTCTGATTGAATAAATTGAAAACAATATGTCTGCTTATTTTTATCATAATCTTTTCATATTCACAAATATTTTTCCATATATTACAATTAAATAAGGCAAGAAATGCACTGTAACATTGAGAATCACTTTCATTTCCCAAGTACTTTCCATCACTTTCTGAGATCATCATCAGGGGTGCAACTGGTAAAGCAAAAAATATGTGTAGCTATCAATTACTGAATTTTTTCTTTTGTGTTTAAATTCTATGGTGTTCTTTAGAACAGGAATATTTATCCGTTATAGAATTTTTTTTCTTTTATGTTGGAAATTATATATATATATATATATATATATATTTTTAAGGTTGAAATAGTTACTCCAGAAACCCAGATATATTATTTTAGAGAAAAAAATCAACTTGGGATCTAAATAGTCAAAAATTAAAAACTATGTATGAAGCCAACAATAAAATTACTACTTACCACCTGTAATGACAGACTCTCCAGCAGAACGACCACCAAATATAGAGCATTCCTCTTTGAGAAGAGGGCCTGCAGCAGAATGGATGGCACCATCAACTGATTAAAAATAAATAAGAATTGTTTTAAAAAAAATCAATCAATAATTTATTATTCCTACTACTTTTTCCAATCTAGTATTGTACTTACATTCGTAAAGTCTATGTACCATAACTGAAAAGTTCATTAGAACAATTACCATGAAAGTATATATGTAAAATGCACAGGGAAACTACATTAATGTGGTGAGAAAGTGACTGAAACCAAGATACCAGGTTAGTACCAATAACATTGCAGATTCTTCTTTGTATTTTATCAAGAATTGCTAAATATATAGCAAAAGAACCAAGCCAGATGTGAGAGTAATATTCAATGCATAGACTTATAAATATGTAAGATAGATTCTGGCTTGAAAAATTGTCTAGCACAAAACAGCAAGCCAACTTTCCTAGCAGCTGACCTAGCAATTGATTCAGTATAATATCAGTGAAAAATGTTAGAATTTACTGGTGATTAGCATCAGCCATGCTGATGGAAGGCAAAATAAGTTCTCTCAATGATAGTAATAATTAGAGAGATAGTGATCTCAACACATATACCAGCCCATGACAACCTCAAAAAAATCAAGATATAGTTTCACTGTGAATTAAATATGCCAAGAATGGAGAGTGGTCTAAATGAGTCTTTTTTTTTTGTGAGCATGAAGGTTAAACATTGCCAAAACATCATTGTATTCTCTATAACTGCTTGCCTCCCCTTTGGGTCCTGGGAATCTCTCATAGGGCCAATCAAAATACACTTACCTCCCCCTCCACCTAATAATTTCTCATTGGCAGCATTCACAATGGCATCTATCAGCAAAGATGTTATGTCTCCTTTCCAAATAGACACTTTCTCACTGATTTCAGGAAATTCAGCATGAACTTCTTTTCCTGAGAAAAATAAACAAATTCAGTAAAGAAACAAAAAACAAATGGAGAAAATGAAAGAGAGAGATAAAAGTTAAGGAATATTTTTTAATCTCAGCAAATAAAATGAATTTTGAAACAAAATTATATTGACTACAATTGAAAGAAATGTACTACTACTATTGACAAATAAAAATAAATTGTAACAACTTTAAAAACTTAGAGATGGAAATAAAAAAAAATGTTGTACTTAAAAACTAAAAGTGTTCCTGTTGTGTTTGGAGCTCTGGGTCTGATAACAATGGGAACTCTGCAAATCAACAAAATCCCTGTTGTGTCATTGCTTCAGAAAATCCCCAAAAATAGTTCTAATAAGCAGAGCCCACATCCTGCAAAGAGTATTGTCCATTTAAGTTTTTTTGTTAATAGCTGTCTTTTTAATTAAGTAGAAACAATAAAAAAATTACACCCTTCACTTGCTCTAAGGCGTTGCTTATTATCCAGCATATGATTATAAAACAAATGCAGGTCAAAAAGAAATTATTATTATTATTACTACTATTATTAATAATGATAATGATGATGATAATATTCACAATTATTTTGGAGCACTTCGATGTGGTTAGCAAGCTTATATCGCTATGACAACCCCATACATTTGGCCTTGTGCAACATCAACGCTACAAGCAGAAAATCATTATTCACAATTGCTTGATGTAGAAAAAAAGTATATTATTTTTGAGAAATTATTATAAACAAATTCGTGCAATAGAAAAATATATCAAGAGTTAGCTCCCTTATATAAGAAACATTAAAAATTCGAATCTGTCACAAAAAGTGTAAATCATTTAAAAACAATTAGAATTTTATTCAATGAATATTAAGCGATAAAAAATATAACAATGCGCTTACAAAAGAGGAAAAGAAACAAACATTGTACAAATAACATTACTAACCATTGTTGAGATATTCGTTGTAATATTCAGGCCAAGTTTCAATTTCAAAGCAGTTTGTACATTTGTCTCTCCTTCTTTTACGTTCATCAATACTTGCATTCAGGTATTTTCCTGAGGAAGAAAAATTATTTCTTATATATATATATATATATATATATATATATATATATATATATATATATATACTGAAATTACAAAATTTCCTGTCACTTCATACTTTATTTAATTTCTGAAATCAGGGCCAGTGCAAGGTTCTCATGCCTCTCCTCACCCAGATCTATGATCCCCCACCCCACACCTGGAATCTATGATATGGGGCCCCACACTCTACTGGATGGATGGACATTGCAAGATACTCAGTATCTGGTTTGGTCCCAATCACCAATTGGAAATGTGAGAGAAGACTGAGGCAGCAGGTCATCTGTGGTCCCAGAGGAATCTTTCCTTAAAGTGGAGGGCAAATTTTGTACTTCGCACATCAACCCAATTCTCCTTCACTGACTCTCTGTTTTGCCACTCCTGTCTACCATATTAATTTAGTAAGAGTCTTTTTCTCACTGTTATAGAGCATAAAGGCTCCCAAGGTATGTCCGGAGATCTTTACCGCCACCCTTCTGAAGGCAGTTTGGGTATGCCTAGCATTGACATCTGTCAGCACATGATTCATATCACTTTCCTAGACTAAATATATATGTAATCAAATGGTAACAGTGAAGGAAGATGCCCATAAGAACTTCCAATCCCTGAGAAGTGTGCACTTGTGTGAGGAGGAGCCCCAAATCATCCTTAGGTGAGTGCGCCTTCTATCATGAATGGGCGAATGCACTCGGGTTCTTCTTATGGGTGATGGATGGCCTCTCCAACATTCAGACATTGTCCAAGAAGTCATTATATCATGTGTTAATAAGAGTGTCCATTCAAGATGATCGAATAGATGAGCTCCATTCTAATGAAACAGGAATTTCACTCTTTATGGTCTTGAAATTCCTCACTAATGATGAAGCATCACTCTCCTTCCTCATTAGGTGATAGTTATGTCAGTTCTATAGTGGATGCAGGACACTTTTCATATTTCGAGTATTCATTTTGTAATTTTTGTTATGTCTGAATAAGTATGTATTTGAGTGAGTACTTGGTAGAATGATTGTTTCAGTTATTTCGTCCAGTATTAATTTTGTCTCGTTAACTGATGTTTTTATCACAGGGATTGGTGGGGGAGGGCTTTTATTACTAGCACGATTTACTAACTGTAAATATGTATTGCGGTTTAGTTTTTAAAAGTTGTTGGTTTTATTTTTCACCCCACCATAAACTTGAATGCAGTTCTCATATGTACCTTGTACATATGAGAACTTCATTGCTCCTGATGTGTAGATATGTCTGCTAACAGCCAAGCCTGAAAGTAAGTCATTGAACTTTTTAATATATTATTCAGTAGTGCACTATTTCTAACATTGTCTATTCCAAAGAGTACTCTACTTCATAACAATATGGCATTTTCAATAAGATCCCTAACTGAATGAACTGAGCATGTAGAAACTTCAATTACATGTTTCACGGCATTGGCTAGGGTAAAGAAACTGAAAGACAAGACAGTCTCTGGGGGAGAGAATGAAATTACTGATTTATTTTTGGCTTCGGCAGGGTGTGAACCCATAAAGAAAATATCCATTATAGTGTACCCCAAAAAAATAAAGACTTAACATAAGAGGAAATTTCAACCATTATAAAAACAAACATGTGACCCCCCCACCCAAAAAAAAGCTGGTTATTGCAAAGAGAACAAAATTTCTGGAAAATAGAACACAAATGAAACCATAATGCAATATTTACACAGATTAAAAGAAGCATCAAGATATTGCAAATTCTAAAAACTGGGTTCAAAAGAAATGTCTGTAGAAGACAAATTGATCCTTCTAAGATTAATTAAAGGCATGTATGACGTTACATACAAACATAGGATCCTAGAACAGCAAGTGTAGAATTCTTGCAGCAATTAGAATTAATTAATGAATTTAATAATTCTAAAAACAATGTGGAAGTATACAACATAACTGAAATCCTAATTAAGTGCAAATATTGCAACAAAGAACATAAAAGAAACAAAAACAAATGTCCAGCCCTAGGAAAATTATGTTTAAACTGTAAAAGAAAAGACCATTTCCAATCTGTGTGCAGATACAAAAAGAGAATAGAAAGGATAGAAAGTATAAATCCTCATACTGAAAATACAGAAGTATATTCAGTAAGAACACCTGCAAAAAAGTAGAGAGACAGTAAAATTAAATGGCATAAATTTTTCCATGCAGGTTGACATGGGGAGCGATGTTACCTTGATCCCAAGGAATTTCCAGTAAAAAACGTGTAAACCCAAATTAAGAAAAAAAATTTTAATTTAAAACAATTTGATTGATTTTTCATCAAAACTCTAGGCTCCTTTGAAGGAACTTTTGAGACAAAAAAAACATTTTGAAATTATTCACATCACTGTTGTAGAATGCACAAAAAATCATAGATTCCTGGGAATATACATTTCAAAAGTGGATACAGTGAAATTAATAAACTGTATAAAGTCAGAAGAACATGACATAGGACTATTAAAAGGATATAAAGTGAGTATTCGTCTAAAAGAAAATAATTACCCGGTCTATTTTGAATCTCAAAAAATACCTATTCACATTCTACCCTTGGTATTTGCAAGACTAAAACAAATGGTAGAACAAGGCATATTGGAAAAAGTAACCTAAGGTGGTAGCATTTGGACTTCACCAATTGTTGCAATATAAAAGCTCAATGGCAATTTGAGGATACATAGGGATTACAAAGTAAGCGTGAATCATCAGATATGTTCATTTCCCTTACATAACATAGAAACGACTAGTCATGAAATAGCAGGAATTAAATACTTTGCCAAGATTGACCTGAAATTGGTATGTAACCAAATAGAAATTGACAGAAAATTTAAAGATGTCACTACAATTAATACCCTAATAGGCTTACTATGATGGACTCATCTTTCATTTGGAGTTAAGACTTCAAGCCATATTTTTCAAAAGGCAATTGAAAAAGTTCTGTTGGAGGAAGTAAAAAATATAATCATATATCAAGATCATATAAGCATAGGTGATTACAGTAAAGAGGAATTTTAAAAAAACTGAACAAGTTTTAAACAAATTAAAAAATGCTGGTATGATGATAAATAGCAACAAATTGTGACAAAATATCATATTTGGAATACCAAATATCTAAAGAAGGAATTTTACCCAGCAATAAACTGATAAATAAAATATCAGAAGTATCTATGCCAAAAATAAAGAAGAATTAAAATCCTTTTTGGGATTGACCAATTTTTATAGCAAATATCTACCTAGACACAGCAACCTAATAGTACCATGTGCAGAATTACAGAAAAAGAATACAGAATTTAAATGGACTCAAAGGCAAAATATAGCTTTTGAAAGTTTAAAAAAAGGCACTAATAAGAAAACTGATTGCAAAAATCATTGATCAAAAAAAAAGAAAGAAGTGACATTGACTATGGATGCAAGTGAACATGTGAACATGCTGTAGCCACAATTTTATCTCAAGAAGGTCATCCAATAATGTACCTGTCGAGAAAATTAACATCATCTGAAGCTAACTACTCAAATATTAAGAAAGAAGCATTAGCAATAGTATCGAGCACCGAAAGAGCTTGAAGATTTTTGTTGAAGTCAGATCACAAACCTTTAGAGTCTATATTTAAACCCAGAAAGGAATTACCAAAAGTCATATTTTCTAGAATTTTAAGATGGGCTTTATAGCTTTTCACTAGACACATTCATGGCCTTTGATTTCAATGACATACATGTAAAGGGGAACACTATTCTGCACATGGAATGTGGTATCCAGAGTAAATTTTGATAGTAAAAAATTAGGAACATCTGAAAATTGATAAGATAAAATACTGCACTGGGTTGAAATGGAGATGTTACTCCTAAATCATCTCAGAATGGAAACCAAACAAGATCCAGTGTTAAGTAGAATTTCAGGCAGAATAAAAAGAAACACATGGAGCAATTGTTCAATGGCAGAAAGACTCTACAAAAATCAAGGCATAAGTTAACTTTAGAGAAAGGCATAATATGCAATGGAGATAGTATAAAACCCTCACAAAGTTTAAGAAAAGGAGTACTAAAAGGTGTACACGATGATTTACATTGTGATATACCAGTGATACAAATTAGATTAAAATTACAAGTGTGGTTGCCAGAATATTCTCAAGATGTAGAAGATTATGTAAAAAGATGCCCAAAATGTGCCGAAATAAAGACTTTCAGGTAAACAAAATTCACTCATTCAAAAAAAACCATAGGCTTGGGAACACATGGCTCATGCTTATATTAAAGGCATGGGACTATTTTTAATTTTAGTGGACTCATTTTCAGAATGGCCTGAAGTAATTAAGGTTGCTGACAGAAAAGCCACCATTGTAAAACAAATATTAAGAACAATATTTTGAAGGAATGAGGGTGCTTAAAACTTTGGTCTCAGATAAGATGCCAGAATTTTGCGAGTAAAGTTTGTGCTTGTGGCTAAAGTGTATTGGATGCATCCCGCATAAAATACAACCCTACCACCCATAATCACATGGAATCACAGAAACAATGGTGTGAGTGTGAAAACAGGACTAAAACATTTTCCCCATCTAATGGTAATATAGAGTTACTTACCAAAATTACTGTTACGCTATAGGACAATTCCACATGCTGGTAGACCACAAAGTCACTCTGCATTAATGGGTAGACAGATTAGAGCTCCCATAACAATGTCATTTTCAACAAGTGAAAGTGTATGGTATAAAAAAGACAAAGAATCTAATCCAGAGAAGGCGAACTTTGTAGAACAGAAAGGAAACAACACAGCAATACTAATGAAAGATGGATAAAATGTACTGGCCCATGCAGATCAATTCAGAAACCAAATGAAATCTGAGGATAAATGGACTGCGGTGGAGACATATCTTGCCTAAGCAAGAGAAGGTGAATTGTCTGTACATGTGCTTGTAGGCATCGTGGACATGCGAGGTGAACTCCGGCAAATAGATTGACCATAGATGTAACACTAGGGAA